ATCCACGCCAGATGTATTTGTTACCAGTTTCTCAGGCCACTCTGCAGTTAATTCTGGCATTATTGTTTCATGGTGTTTAATATTTAATTTGTGTCCTCCTTATTTAAACTTTAAATGTGTTATGGGAAATTAATTTTGTGTGTGGTTTATTGCCAATCCTTGTGGCAGGTAAATAGTGTTTGCTTTGAATTTTCACTGTATCCTATCTGCTCTGCAATCGTAATAACTACGGCTGATATCTTCCCTTTACTATCCATCAGCATCTGATCCTGAACAAAACCGCTGCTCTTCCGACAACCAGCTTAAAGTTAAGATTTAATATAGCCCCCCGTCTACCATCAAGAAGGCCTCGACAGTTTAAAGCTCATTCTCTAAATCTCTGCAGACTTTATGGACAGCCAAGGGCCCATATAAAGTTTAATAGCATTATGGAGCATAAATCATCTTTTAAAGATGCAGCTAGCAGCACGGATATTAAATGCAGACAATTGTGCGCTTTATAAATAATTTATCAAACACCATTTCAGATTGCCCGTCCAGGCTGACTTGTTTATTTTTGCCCTTACTGGCGTATTCCTTAGATGCTTCTTGAGAGAACCATTAACGGTCAGTTTAATGAACTCCGGGGCGTTCAGGTCACTATGAGCCTTATGCCGCAGCTGTGGTGACCGATCTGGACCTCTCTCCTGCCTTTCTCAAGTGCTGCCCATTTGTCATCTGCTGGTAAATGGCTGTGTACATTGGAGTCCAGGGACACATTGTGTGATACAGTGATGGAAGCAAACAGATAGCTCTATAAAGAGCTGCTTGTCACAGCTGACTCGTCTTACCGTACATCACTCTTATTGTAATCTCATTTAAGAAGCAGCATAGGCCCCAGGGTAACATATTCCCAGGTACTTTGGACTTTGCAGCTGTAAACTACTCACAGACCCAGTTATTCGCTCCAAACTTTCTTTGCTTTAATTACACGTGTGGCGTCTGCCTTCAGAAGACAAGTAATAGCTGTGTACTGGGAGGAGGATATATTATGTATCCATCCTCCTAACAGGAAAGCTGTAGCAACACAACAGCACCATATTAAAAAAAATAATACTAATAATTCTGAAACCCTGCAGACGTGTAACCAATAAAAGAATCATCCCTCCGTCTCCCTGGTGTCTTTTCTCAGTAGAGATTTGGTGGATGCATGTAATAGACTGGGGGTAGGCAACCTTTTAGCAGTACTGTGCCGAAACAGGATTGTGATGTCCCGTAGTGTGCCAGTCCTATTTTTTTTAAATTGAGGTATGTATGTTGCCATACTCTGCTTGTTATTTATACTGCAGTTGCTTTGTATCGTTGTATTTGTGCGTGTTAGCTATTGTATTGTATATGTTCATCAGTCGTTTGTGGCATCATGTATGATACCTATGAATGTGGGCTGTGTAATTGTGTGTGTGGATGGATATGTCACATTGTGTGTTTGGTAGAGTGTGTATGTGTGGGGCTGTTTGAGGTATTGCATGTGAGAGGCTGGATCTGGGGTTGTGTGCATGTGGATTGTCAGTGGTGTTGAGTTTGTGCACATTGTGTGCATGTTTGTGTGTGGGCTGTTCGTATTATTTGTATGAGGGGAGGGTTATTCTTTTCTATGTATATCTAGTAGTGTGGGTGGCTTCGGTGGGTACGAAGCTGGCCAGGTACAGGTCAAGGACAGGAGCAGTAACAGCAGCTATGGGCTACTTTACTCCAGTGTGGATTCCTACTCACAAGTGCTGGAATGAAAGGATCTGAGATTACTTCCTTTATGAGCTGCAATGCATAAATTGAGGATTGTCCTTCACCACTTTTTCGTATTAGCAGATATCTGAAGTTTCATTGGGACTCCCAATAGACAAGAGCCTGTTTGGCTCTAGCAGCCTTGAGTGCCGTGCAAAGACACCTAGATTGCTGTGAATGGCACACGTGCCATAGGTTACCTACCTCTGTAATAGACCACTCAGTGTCTGTATTGTACTTTATTTAATTTCAGTCACAACATGAAAAATACAGAAACTTGTGTGTGTGTGTATATGTTTTTTCTTTACTGTAATATACAGAATAGATGCTCACTAATGTGCAGTCATGTATACATACCTCCCAAATGTCCTTAATTTTTTTCTACCCAAATGTCCATCTTTTCAAGGAGTTCCATACGGTTGGAGTGTATACCACAGGCTCAACAAATCCCAGGGACCAGGTTGCCATGGCGACTATGAATTTTGTCCTGGGGCCTGTGTATTTATTATCTCTTTCCCTCCCAGGTGGCCTGCTGGCTGAGAGAGAGTGGGGTTGCGCAGCTGGCTGTGAGGAATGGAGGCGATAAGGGAGCTGTAATCTTATTGCTCTGCTCCCTTGCGACAGAAGATGATGTCACTCCAGTCTCGGCATCACTAATTTAAATAACTTTTAAAAAATTGTGTGTGTGTGTGTGTGTTTAGGTGAGTGGCCCCCCTTGGATCGCATGGGGAATGTTGAGTACCTCCATGCAGAGTGTTAAAACTCTGAATAAGATAAAAAGTACTTTAGTGGCCGTCTGCGTGACTGCTACTAAAGGTGTTACTAGGCAGCAATGTTTGAAAAGGAAGTTTTTACATTAGAAATCTTGCAGGTACAGGTTAAAGACACCACAGCCACTGCATTAACTGTAGTGGTTCTGGTGACTATGGTGTCCCTTTAAGTATTGTATTTTGCAGTAATAGCCACAGTAATATGTATTTACACCACATAAAATGTGCTTAGAAGTTAGTTTGTATAAATAAGATAATGTAACTTAGAACAAGAACAGATGTATAATTGCATAAATTATTAGTAAAGCATGTAAAATGTCTCCAAATAGCTCCACCCCCACTCACACTGCTAAAATTAAAGTATCACTGTTTGTCTGTATGCTAAGTGCATACACTTACCGAAGGGATGTACTAAATGTGAGTTGTAGTTCAAGAGCAGGGGTCCCGGTTTGGGATTTCAGGTTGGCGGTGGTGGGTTCTGCAACGCCAAGTGTGCCTTGATGGCCGTGGACCAAGGCCGTAAGAGGAGATCCTTTCATGTCCCATGCAGAGCCCTCTCGGCCTGGTGAAGATATCAAAGATCTCCCTCTCCGGCCCGCTGGCACTTCGTTCCAGCAGAGAGAGGGAAGGGCCTAGGAGACTGTTTCTCCCGCGAGCAGGCTGATAGGACGTTGTGTGTTACCATGGCAACACTCTGATACAGTGCTGTGCTCCCAGGAGGACAGGAGAGTCAGCCTGCAGCCGGAGGAGCTGCAGGCTAACGTGAACATGCCACCACTGGACCACCAGGGCTTGCAGCATTATGTCCTCCCTCCCTGGTAAAAGGTAAGAAGAAGAAGACATTAAGATAGATTTTCACAGCATACACACAGCATAGACCCTATGCACCCATCACACACCGCCATACATTTAAAAAAATAGATCACACTTGTGCTATAAAATTAGTTTCTGCGGCACTGGCATTTTACCATCAACCAAGATGCAAAAGTCGGTGCTAGGTATTGAAAGGTTGACTACTAGAGAAACTTGGGGCAAAGTAACATTTTGGGTGCCCCTGCAGTTCAACATTATTATATAGGAACCGTTTAAAGACTTACTTTATGGTGGCTACATGACAGCATTAAACTAGATCTTAGGTAGAGGTTTTTCTATACATGGCTGTGACCCTTAATATTTACCGATTCACTCTGAGTTTAAATAAAAGCCAAGGTAGTTTCCTTGTATGATAGGGAGGTGTGTTCCATTCTCTTAAAATGATGCTTTAACGCTGTTACGGCGTTCTATGCCGTCCCCATTATAATGGGCTTTAAAGCCGTTGCGGTGGCATAGAACGTCGTAATGGCTTTTTACACCAGGAGCCTCCAGATAATCACCTTCCCGTTGATCTGCTTCGGGAGGACTGCCTGACAGCCATATCAGGCCCCCGGGGGCCATGTGATCGCTCTGTAGCTGGCTATGAATCTGCCTGCAGGGAGACTGGGCTGTCAGACAGTCCCCTTGCTGGTGGGAAAGTAAAAAAATATTACACATGTTAAAAATAAATTAAATGTATGTATATATGTGTGTGTGTGTGTGTGTGTGTGTATATATATATATATATATATATATATATATATATAATGTCATATGTAGTGTATTTTAATATTAATATAAGTACATATATTCGTATTAAAATACACTTAGAATGAAGTTACATATATATGATATATGTATTATATATACATTACACATATATATTTTATATTTATATACATATGTATAATTACAATAATTAAATAAAATATTTTTTTAAACATTTAAATAAATTATATATATGTAATTTCACTTTAACTGTATTTTGTTATTAATGTATATATATTAGTAACAAAATACTTAGAATGACATCTATCTATGTATAAAATACAAATAACCGCAAATATATATATATATATATATATAAATATATATAATTACATAAATGATTACATAAGTATACACGTAGAATTTAAATACATATATATGTATACATAGTAAAATTCTATGTGTATATTTAAGTAATCTTTTAACATAATTATGTGATTTAATTAATTAAAATTTTATTGACGTGCCTGACATCCCAGGCAGAAAGTGCAGAGAATTTAATTCGCAAGCACTATATTTAACCCTGTAACTTTCTGAGACACCATAAAACCATGGGGGGGAGACTTCGCTAAACATAAATATTAGTGTTTCAAAATGATAAATTGTATATTTTCAGTAAACTGCACTTTTACTGACGATATTGTTGTAATATGTTTTAATGTTTTGAAAGACTTATGTTTGTGTTTAGTGAAGTCTCCCCAAGCTTAACAGTACCCCCCATGTACAGGTTTTATGGTGTTTTGGAAAGTTAGAGAGTCAAATATAATTTTTTTCACATTGAAATTTGCCAGTTTGGTAATGTTGCCTTTGAAAACCGTATGGTAGCCCAGGAAAGAGAATTACCCCCATGATAGCATACCATTTGCAAAAGTAGACAACCCAAGGTATTGCAAATGGATATGTTCAGTTATTTTTAGTAGCCACTTAGTCACAAACACTGGCCAAATATGTTTTTTTGCTTTTTTCACGCAAAAAAACAAATATGAACACTAACTTTGGCCAGTGTTTGTGACTAAGTGGCTACTAAAAAATGACTGGACATACCCCACTTGCAATACCTTGGGTTGTGTACTTTTGCAAATGGTATGCCATCATGTGGGTAATTCTCATTCCAGGGCTACCACACGGTCTCAAAGGTAACATTACTCTTCTGGCAAATTTTAATGTGGAAAAAAAATAAAAATGGAATGTGCTATATTTGACCCTGTAACTTTACAAAACACTGTAAAATCTGTTAATGGGGGGTACTGTTTGACTCGTGAGACTTTGCTTAATACAAATCTGTGCATTTTATTGCAGTAAAAGTGAACAGTATTATGACATTTACAGCTAAAATGTGAGGCGGAACTACAATTCTTTTTTTTTTTTTCACAGTTTATTTATTTTGTTTATAAGTTATGTTTCATATATGAATAGTTCATGAGAAATTAAAGCCCCGTTTCTCCTAAACAAAATGATATATAAGTGTGGCTGCAGTTAATATGAAAGAAGTGAATTACGGTTGAACAGACATATAGCGCAAATTCCAGTTTTTGTTTACATTTTGTTTTGATCAGAACGTGTACTATTGACTCCATCCTGAAGGAGTTAAATACCTTACCTTGTATCATATATTTATTTTGGTGTACAGAGTCTTTGGATGCCATTTCCCCATATTGCATGTTTTTTGTTTTTGTTTTGTTTTTAACCAAACAGCATTTTACTCCAGATTCTAAACTGCCACTCAGATAAATGTGCAAGTTCCACTTCTGTATGATATATCCAGTGATGGGGCATTCCTGAAGAGTCTTCACATAAAGGCTTAAAAGTTTACATTTTGTATTGTGTGGTGCTAGACATTGGGTTGGGGAGAGGGGGAATGATTTTTGTTAAATTATTTAGACTTACATAAAGGGGGTAGGCAGCATTCAAAGACTCCTTGCACCATAGACACCATAATAAACTTTATAAACTATGGTGTCCCTTGAGTAATTATATAGAAAAGGTGCATGTTCATACTCTTTGCTTTCCAGTATGTATTAAGTAAACCAGAACATATTTTATTTGTATTTAGACAGGGGAATGCCATTTATTATTTAATAACTTAATATTTTGGATTTGCAGGAAGAAGAAGCTAAACAGCTTGTACGGGACGCCATTTCTTCTGGCATCTTTAATGACTTGGGCTCTGGCAGCAACATTGATTTGTGTGTCATAACTAAAAACAAGGTCGATTATATACGTCCCCATGATGTGGCCAATAAAAAAGGTGTAAGGTGAGTGTTCAAATAATAGTGGGGTGGGGGTGGAAGCTACTCAGAGATACTGTAGGCACCAAAACAACTTTAGCTTAATGAGGCAGTTCTGGTGTATAGATCATGCTCTTGCAGTCTCGCTGCTCAATTCTCTGCCATTTAGGAGTTATGTTACTTTATGTCTGAAAACAGCTTCATTAAGCTAAAGCTGTTTTAATGCCTATAGTGTCAAATTAAACTGAGATGTCAAAGCACTTCTCCTAAGTTGATAAATGGCTTGCATCTTACAGTATATATGATATACAAAGTATGTTTTCTCATTGGTACATAATACATAGTGGAACTTTAAAACCAATATATATTTTGTTTTGTAGGACGGGAAATTATAAGTACAAGAAAGGAACAACAGGTGTCCTGTCTGAGAAGATTGCCCATTTCAACTTGGATGTGATGGAAGAAAATGTGCAAACAATGGATATTTCTTAAGATTAATGTATTAACTTGGAGTCTGGTATGGTTAAGTTACCTGTATTTTCTATGTTATGAGTATGCTGTTAAGCCACTGCAGTTTGAACCAATACTTCAAATAAACACAAACGAACGATCATTGGTTCTGCTTGATTTTTATATATATATATATATATATATATATATATATATATATATATATATATATATATATATATATATATATATATATTTATTTTATTATTTTTTTTGAGGGAGGGGGGAGTTAATCACAGGTACTGGCATAATTCCCACGGTTGCAGCTGCGACTGGGCCATCACTTCAGGGTGGTGCACGGCTGCACCGATCTGGGCTTGCGGTTGCAGGGTAACTAGCTGTGCACTCCCATCCTGTGGGTAGAGGGGCCTCAGTTTCACTCTACCCAGTCTGATAGGAAATGCTCAGTGAGAGCAATTTTTGTCAGGTCTTTACTGCGGTCCGCTCAGCCATGCTACATGGAGAGAGCATGTACAGAAGGGATGGGGGAGAGACACATGGAAGGGGAATTGACTCCTTGAAGGTACCTGGAGCTGAATTGACACACACAAGAGATGGGAATTGAGACAATATATTGTAAGGTGCAGATATGTGGAGTGCCAGCTCTCCATACTGGCTACAGAACTACATGGTCTATTTTTGACAATTTTTTATTCATTGTGACTTAAATTATACTTTAAGGATTATTTGCCTAGGGAAAGTGTCCTGCATATTGCTGGTATTGGACAGATTGGTTGAGGGGAGGTGGCTTTGGAGGTCACATTGTTGCCATTAATTTGGGCTTCAGCTGTTTTGACACCATACAAAATCCATAGTGGCATTATGGAAAATGCATACCCTTGATCCACATTATATTAGGGTATGGACAATGGTGTATTCTGGTTTTGTGTTGCCCTAGGCATGACAAAACTCGGCACCTCCTTCCAAACAGATACACGCCCTCACTGATACACAGTCATTGTTACACACACTCACATTCACACTCACTGACAGACACCCACACATATACTCATTGACAGATATACACTGCCAAACACACATACTCACTGATAGACATATGTACACTGTGTCAGACACACATACTAAATCACTTTAAAAAAAAAAAAAAAAAAAAAGTAATTTACATTTCAATCCACCCAGCCTCCCTACTTTTGGGTGAGTGGATTCTTCCCTGGGGTTCAGTGGCGCTGAGCTGGCAGGTGCGGGCAGTCAGTAAGGCAGCAAGGGAGCTCTGATCTCACTTGCACGCCTCTTAGTGATGCCTGGGCCTGAGTGACGTCATATTCCAGCTCCGGCATCACTGTGGTGTGAGGGAGCTAAGCAGGGGAGAGTGCTCCCCTGCGGCCAGCCTTGGGGGGTGGGAACTCCTGGCCCCCTCAGGACTAGAGTCTGGCAGCTCTTTTTGCCACCACACAAGGCAAATGCCTCGTGCTAATTACAGCGCTGGGTCAGGGTCACTAACAAAGATCTTAACAAAACCCCACATTTCTATATCAAGATTCCTCTCTACCTGTGAATAGTGTGCTGCTAAACCTCTATGGAATCTCAGTGAACGTATAACCGTAAACATGCATATGTGGCAGCCAGGAACACCTATATTAAAGGGTCACTATAGGGTCAGGAACATTAACATGTATTCCTGACCCTATAGTGTTAAAACCACCATCTAGCCCCTCCTGGGCCCCTAATGCCTCCATAAATATAGCAAAATCTTACTGTATTCAAGCCAGAAGCTGTAACTCTGCATGCCTAAAAAAAAAAAAAATTGTCTGCTGACATCAGAAGTGGTAGCCTGATCCAATCACAAGGCTTCCCTGTAGGATTGGCTGAGACTGTCAAAGAGGCAGATCAGGGGCAGAGCCAGCATGTTTCAAACACAGCCCTGGCCAATCAGAATCTCCTCATAGAGATGAATTGAATCAATACATCTCTGAGGAAAGTTCAGTGTCTGTATGCAGAGGGAGGAGACACTGAATGTTTGGATGCATTTTAGGCAGCCATGACCCAGGAAGGATCTCTAACAGACATCTGATGAGTGGCCAGTGAAGTTATCACTAGGCTGGAATATAAACACTGCATTTTCTCTGAAAAGACAGTTTACAGCAAAAATCCTGAAGGTAATGATTCTACACACCAGAACAAATTCATTAAGCTGTAGTTCTGGTGACTATTATTCATATTAAAGGGACACTATAAAGTACGGCTGCACACTTTTGAGGAGGATGGTATCAGTCATTTGGCTAAATTTAAAGTCTGTCACCTTCAGATGACAACGCATATTTTGCAAAATCCCATGTAGTTGGGTTCAGCAGGATTTACTCACCTGTCCGTCAGCTGCATAGATGACACTTTGCATATAGTGAGATCATGCCTGAATTCCACTCCAATCACTGCTGGTATTGGACAAGGGTTGATGGTGGATCACCTTTTTTTCAATCTTTACCATAGTCCCTACTTTGTTTTATGCTATTGTTGGAATTTCAATAAAATTTCAGCAAGTCAGTATATTATAAAGAGCCCCTTTTGATTATATAAATTAGGGCAAGAGTTTTTTTTTTTCCTTCCCACTACCCCTTGGTACATAGTAAATGTCAAAACAAACAGCATTTGTTCAAATATGTCCGTTTCAGCTAAAAGTTTGCTTACCCATTCAGCTACTCCCAAAATGCAAAGTTGATTAGTTCAGCCAAAATTTGCATGTTCATTCCATTAACAGAAAATAAGAATCTCAGCCATAACTCTAGACCTTATAACAACCCACCCCTAAATCCCATCCCAGCTATTTTTTCCTACCTAAAAGTGGCAATCCATTTGGCTCAATTCAGTTAATAGTGATTAGGGTGAATTTCAGATGTTAACTCAATTGAACCAAATACAAATGAGTGAATATTGCTATAGATCATAATTTTAGGTGGTTCTCCTTATAGACTAGATGTGCACCTATAGCTGCTATTATTACCAGCTTTTGTTTTAATGCCTGAATCCATTCAGTGGTAATATAGGAGAAGACTAAATGTGTTGGATTGTAAACAATTTTGAAACTTTGACGTAAAAAAAAAAACCTATACAAAACACAACAGGAAGATCTTATTTATTAACATTTCTTATCAACCACAAAATGACACCTTTTTGAGACAGCCATGTATTAGACATTAGATCATATACTGTAACAGCAAGTCTATATATTCCTCTAATAGTGACCTTCCAGTATAAAGGGATTTATTTTCTTTTCCACTGGTGTGGAGCCACAGACAGCCTTCTGTTAAAGCTTCCCAAATGAAGACTGTTCCTTCAAATTGTGGGGTTGATACCATATTCACATTAAAAGAATTGTGCATTCACAGTTAATATTGTT